ATAGATCCTCACCGCGCTAGAGTCCCGTGAGATCTAATGTTTTTAAGTAATTTTTAAAACTAGTAAATGTCTGTATCTTTCGAGACTCGTCCGGTAAAGCGTTCCATAGTTTCGATGCAGCATATCTCCATGATCTTAACCCGAAGGTTGTTGATTTTACTTTTGGGAGGTCCAGTATTGTGGTGCCCCTAAGATTATAAGTGGAGCACCTAACTGTTATAAGATCACGTAAGCTTTTTGGTCCTGCATCACTAGTTAATATCTTAAAGACAGTGGACAAAATTTTCGCTAATCGCTGTTCACGAAGACTTGAGAGACCGATACGCTTACAAAGTTCCTCATAAGGGGAGGACTTATCTCTAAAAACAAAACGGAGCGCACGTTTGTTCACCAACTCTAACTTGTCAGCTGATTTCTTATTACAGAAGTGCCACGTTTCGGAGCAGTAATTAAAGTGTGGTAAAATGAAGGCTTTGTAAAGATCCCTTCTAGTCTCGAAAGACAACATTTTCTGCATCCTTTTTAACACAGCCACCTGTTGACTGACTTTTCTACATATTTTAGCAATGTGCTTTTCAAAATTCAATTTATCATCGATTGTCACGCCAAGAAGTATAATGGAGAACAAAGAACCACCTGTTGACTGACTTTTCTACATATTTTAGCAATGTGCTTTTCAAAATTCAATTTATCATCGATTGTCACGCCAAGAAGTATAATGGAGAACAAAGAACCAGAAAAGTACACACTTGTATTCTCTGACTCCCAATACAAACATGGGGCCAAAAAACGAATTTCAAAAGCCAAACGGCTAGCAACTAACAAGCGCAGGGAGCGCAGAAAAGTCAAACGCGAAACACGTTCAATTATCAAAATATAGGCGAACAAAACGCACATAAAAAACCTCTCAAATAAAGAACTTACAAACGACCAAATTAATTTACTGGCAAAAGGGCTTCAATTCATTCCAACACCCGCTACAAAACAAAAACAGATCAGACAACAGCTATTGCGTGACTTTGAACAGTTGGCGATTGGATATATTAATAGATTAATTTGATCCTTTGGCGATCGGATCTATTAATAGATTAATATAGCGGACGAAACAACTATACTTTTCTGACAAAAGAAAACTTGTGGAAGACTGCCACAAACCTTAAATTTTAATCAGTCAAAAAACTTGCAGTCCATAAAATGCCTTGAGTGGTATATCGTTCCGAGGAAAAAAAAGCTTCAGAGGCTTGTTATTAGATGTAAGCAGGAGAAATCCTTACAAACAAAGTCATCGCGTTTAAATGCAAATTTTTGTCGAGCAACCTGGCATTTCCTCTAGCGATTTTAGTATTTCCAAATTGTCATGGATGGCATCAATTTGTTCCAAAGTCTCCATAACTCTCTGTGTTAACAAATGATGAAAAGCACTCGACAGCGATTTTGCTAAAACAGCAACGCCTTTAATTCGAACCAATCCGCTGAACCGCAAATCCGGCCAGAACATAGGCTCCGTGTAGCCTCTTGTTCAGTAACAGATAGTCGCCTCAAAATATTCTTCCATATAATTTTGCAGCGGAAAGCTCTAATTTATCTCCAACAGCCTCAGGACAAAGATGTTTTACGGTCCGTTCTTCGAACAAGTGAAAATAGACTGAACGAAGAAAACATCGTTTTCCAAAGCATAGCAACGTGGGCTTCTTAATTGGTTGTTGCCAATCTGGACTTTGCCCTGTGCGTGCGAAATACGTGATAAAATGCAGGTTGTTTTCAGGGAGTTGACACGCAATGGGGTGAAGTCCAAGGTAGCTAAAAGCGAATTTTATTGGTAGAAAACATCCAAGCACGTGAGAGTTGCGTGGAAAATTGACGGACTGTACCATTATGTTCCTTGTGAAATACTTTTCAGTGAGGCAGAACTATGTCATAAAATTTACGTTGTTTACTGGAAAATGGCATTTCATCTGAGACACGCAATTGTTGCGGGAAAGTATCGTTTAAACAATATTTAACTCACGGAGAACTTTTAGGAGCAAAGAAACGGATATTTAACAAAACAGTCGACGCAGAAAGTAAATATAACTTGGTGGTATTTTCAACTTTACAAAGAGAGCAGCCACAGGGCAAAAAATGAGATCATCAATCAAATATAATTTATACAAATGCCTTGTGCAAGTTTTACCAGTCAGCAAAACTAGCCCTTCCAAAACAACACGCTCTGGTGCTAAATTCGTGTCAGGCCCTTAGCTGACGGTGTGTACGTTATAAGTGAAGGAGCGGTAGACAAAACATGCACGTTTTAACCTGCAATTGGTGGAAAAAATTCCCAGACGACCTTTCTAATCCCGACAGATCATAGCGATAAAGTCCTCCGGAAGGACAGCCATTACACTGGGTAGATAAGCTCACAATTCTTGTAGATGTCATTCTTACCTCGTTCTTTAAGCGAAATTAACAACGGAATTCATGTATAGCGATTAAGTAAGGGCGGGACTTCGTCAACACTTGATAAACTTCACCTTTTCTTTAATTATTCTTCGACTTCAAAAGCGCGGAATAACTGGAGCACTAGTTTAACGGCCCTTTCGTTATGTCATTCTTCGACATCGTGAGCACGGGACTGCGGATGCACTAGTTTAACGGCCATATCATTTTATCATTCTTCGACTTCAGGACAGCTTGAATGCGGGACCATTTGTTTAAATGTCCTTTCTTTTAATATAATTTTTCGACATCGGGACCGCGGGAGGAATCCATTCATAACAGTCAGTAGCGGCCGGGTATTCTGAAGTTGCTCTCATCAACATCTCAAGCAATATTTGATTCAAAATTTTTCTCATGTTCCACTCAGTCTCCTTTAGAACGAAGAATAACCATAGTCGTACATTGATCTCAACTCCGCCGCTTTCCCAACACGACTAATACGTTTCTTTAATTCGCGAACCGTTCTCCTTGAGTCACGCGTTGATTCGCTGAATTTGAAGACCTGTCAAACCCCAAATTAGCAAGAACGCTCTGATTGGTGCGACATCGAAAAATACTACAATCTGATTGGTTTGTGATACACCAAAAAATTGCGCCAATCCCATTTCCTTGAGATACACCAAAAAAAGTGCGCCAATCAGATTGCTTAGAGATACACCAAATTGCGCTGGTCAGATTACCCTACACCAAAATACACCAATCTATACGCTAACATATGGTTATTTTTTTTAAAATAAAATTACTGAAATAGTACTAATTTCGCTCAAAAGTTCAGGTCTTGCACGCCTGAGTCCGCACTGTTGACCGCATACCCTCTGACGTAGCATTTCGTTATTCAGCCCTGTTACATTACCCAACATCCCAGCGACCGCCAGCGAGAACTTCTTTCTTAGTTGGTCCCCCACAAATCTATCGGCCTCTCATGAAAGTGCTTGAAGCACCTGGGCACTAGGTGCTGCAAACGTCACAAAAGGAAGCTTCCGACCGCATTCCATTCACTCTCACGTTTCACCCTCACAACCACTCAGTCAAATCCATCATTCTTAAAAACGATCCAGAGACAAGCACTATCTTTTCGCAGCCTCCGCTCATTTCATTCAAACGCGAAAAAAACATAGGCATTTTTTTTGGTCAGAAGTTCTTTGCAGACTGATGACCAGCCTGGCACTTTTAAATGCACTCGTGCACGATGTAAAACGTGTCCTTTCATTCACAACACTGATAAAATATCAGGACCCAAACGATCCATTAAGATCACTGATCACTTCACGAGCACCTCAGCCAATGTACNCCCGACGCAGCCCCAAACAGTTTCTTCAGAAACTATCAGCCTTTATTAATCTGAGACGATTTGCTTAACCATGCAGATACAGCGATTTAATTCTACGATTTGGCCGCCCAGTTCCGGAGCTAAGTATGATATCCAACCTCGTGATGGATACAATTATCAACAGCACAATGACAGACTAACTCAGTGGAATAATACACTTCTAAATCTTCCACTTCTTGAAAGCTACGCCCGTGCGATTGACTCTAAAGGAAGTCCGTTACCTAGTTGCTTTAGTTTTATAGACTCAGTGAACAGTAAGGCCAATTTGTCGACCCGAAAAAAAAAACAGAGGATCGCTTACAATGGACATAAGCGAGTACATGGTCTCAAGTACCAGTCTGTTGTCTTGCCTAATGGCATGACTGCTAACAAGTACGGCCCAGTAGGTAATTGTTTTAATTTAATTTGTTGCTTTTTTTTTCTTTTTCGAGAGGGGGAGATTTAGAAGCATTACACCCTGACTTCACCAAACTAAAATACTTATTTATCTGTTCTCTTTAAGAAGGTAGAAGGCATGATTCAGGTATGCTGGCTTACTTCGCTATCTGGAGCAGCATGCCTTCTACACAACAAGAGAACCAATGGTCCTGTATGGTGACCCCGCCTATCCCTACGTGTCCACCCCTAAGTCCCTTACAGAGGTGCCGGAATAACACCACAAATGGAGTTGTACAACAAAGCCATGAGGACCGTTCGTATGTCTATATATAGAGTGGCTTTTCGGGGATATCGTCAATTCTTTTAAATTTCTCGATTTTAAGAAAAATTTAAAACTCTCCCTTAGTGTAGTTGGAAAAATGTACATTGTGCGTGCCATTCTACGTAATGCCTTGACCTGCATGTACACCAACTCTACATCAGAGTGCTTTGCCCTGGACCCTCCAACCATTGAAGATTATTTTTCTTGAACGTTTACATCAATTCATCTGTAAAACATAAACCTTTTCAAAATGTTTGCTTTTAATTATGTAGAAACAAAATTTTGACAACTAAATAAAATGAAGTGTAGTTAAGCAGGGCGAGTTACTTCAAGCCATTTACTGCAAAGTGATCAAAATATCTGCAACATGTGTCGAACAGTTTGTATTTAAAAGCAATGTCAAATATGAATATAAACCATTTAAATGCTAAAGCAAGTATTCACAACAAAATCAAAGATTTTATGAACAGTACCATGCAAATCAAACCGAGTTAATTTGTTCTTTTTAGAAGCTTCATAGTTATTTGAGACTGCTGCTGCATTGAGGTAAACATCTGCTGAAAGCTTTGCATCTGCTCTTGTTGCTGCTTAGTTTGTTCTATGAAGACTTTCATCATATCCTGATGTTGTTTGGTTGACTGATCTTCCCGTTTACTCTCTTACTTTCAACTTCCGCTCGCCGTCGTAGACATCTTCCCTACTGGTTCCATGAGCTTTGGGACGGCAAAAAAAAAGATACAAATAAACAAACAAACAAACAACGTAACAATCAAACAGATTAATCCCATAACTTCCCCTTTTGAAAGAGGTGTGACTTGTGCAGCCCTCAAAAGGATGTTAAAGGCAATGATTTTCATTACGTTCCTTATAGTTTATTATTCATTATCCATTAGACTTGGGCGTGTCGAGTTCGTCTATTATTTCCAGTTGCTTGGATAATGCGAGAAGGCATGAATCACGATTAATTTTTATCCCAAAGATAGAAAACATTTCTTTGGCAAGTCTTGAAAAGAGCTTCATGCAGACAAATATTTCACACTCGTGTACGGTTCAAAATTCCTCGTGCAAATCACACTTTTGCTTTGGCATATATTATAATGGCAAGGGTCGATTCCTGGCTGTATTGCAGACAGTTCTTCTTTCGCAAGCACAAGTTAAGTTTCTCTTCTTGAAAGATTTAAACAAGAACATCCGAAGGCCGAGGTGTTCAACTGGTTGCGAGGTTCGTAATTCAGCGCATAAGTTCGAGTCAAAAATGAGGTGCACATTGTTTTTGTATCCTGAAAGTGACATCTCTAAATGTAGGCGACTTATGAGTTATTTCCAAGGCAGGCTGGGAAGGATTGCAGAGGTGAGAGGCATCAAGAACATTTTAGTGAGGAATCAGGATTTTAGGTACGAGCTACGTAACAGTCAGTGTGTGGTATTGGTCGGGACGCGCCAAGCTTCTTCTCTCATCCAAAACAAGGAGCAAGAAAAATGCGGTGATTATATTACTTTTGACGGCAAAGTTATGCACGAGGAGTTCACAGAAAACAAAGAGCTTGTCGAGAACAGACTCGTTATTGTTCACTTAACTGAAAGAAACGAGGATGACTGGATCCCGACTGGTTTTGACGAAAAGCGAATTTTTCATGTGGAAGATGGGAAAGCTCCCCCCAAAGGAACCCCTACCTTAACTCACCTTGAATATCGCCTGAAGAAAATTTTGCTTGGAGATGATTTCTTGTACTGAGCTTAAGGACCATAGAAAGTGGTGTGAACATTTCTTCGTAATTAAA